TACGATTGCGGGATTTCCCGCTATTCTCGTACGAGAATCGTGCAGTGTATGGGCACCTTTTTAGATTGTAAGCTCCTTGAGGGCAGGGACTGATGTGAATGTGCACGATCTAAATAATGTGCTATGCCAAGAAACTTTGGAGTTTTAAGGGAGAAATCATATCCAGAAACCTCCTGATAGTAAAGTGCTCACAGTACTAGAGGAGCATGGAGTTTCTCATGGTTTCTGATCTCTGATCAAGTACTACCTGCATGGCTTCCATGCTGTTCCAACAGTTTCAAAAAGTTGGCATGGACTCAAAGCATGGAAGTCAGAAGTTTTGACTTGTTTGTTCTACTGTATTTTTGTTCCAGGTCATTGTTACAAAGTACTAAAACCAGAAAGGGGGTCGGCAGTTACAGCCTACTTATTTCACTCCATATAGATACATTACCTACACACTGTAATGCATCATCCAATTTGAATCTGTTTTTGCCCATAAAGGGCAAAGAGCAGGTTTTTTAAATGTGGTCTAAACCCATCATTTAGTTTGTTTCCTTATATGCCAATGGCCAGCGCTACATTTACCATTGTGCAAAATAATTGTGTGCTGTAGGTGCCAACGTTTTTCCTAAGCCATTATGCCCTTTAAAGTATAGGTGCACTTTAAAACAAGTGCCTGTGTTCTTTGTCCTATTACCCTGAGCTAACCAATCCCACCTTCCCATTCCACAGACGTTTACTTATGGAGATTCACCTATTGCGGCCTCCATTGTTTACATCCTGTGCTGTATGTCCTCTCGGCCACACAGGCACATTATAGCCCCACAGACTTTCAGTCGGGAGGTAGAGTCCCATGAACTTCAAACTTTTGCGTCACTTTCAGCACTTGAGTGCCAGAGGTAGGAACATAGAAAATACTTATTTAGGTGCACCAAAATTTAATTTTCAGCCCAAAACTGAAAATAAGAACATTTGTCAGACGGAAAACCAAATATTTTTTTTTCTAACATATTGACAGTCCTCAATCTTTTTTTGCAGCACCTGTCATGAATGAACAGGAAGCCTCTTTATGGAGTGTTCCTGCCATTCATAAATTGTGGATATCGTACGAGTAACTATATGCACAATCATGAATGAACAGGAAGTGTTGTGGAGCACTTCCTGATTATTCATAATTGGGGGCACATGAAACAAACAGCCCTCAATTATTTACACGCAGTCAAGGATCAGCTGATCGTTGACTGCTTGTACTGTCACAGGAGGTGCAGTGGGCGATGCAGGGAGGAGAGCTCTGCCTCCTGTGACATGGCTGCCAGCTGACTCCTCGCCCATACTGCCGACTTGGTCTCCTGTGACAGCTGTTTCCTTAGCGCACAGCTCTCCATCCGGATCTGCCTGTCAACAGAGGCTGAGCAGGTTGGGAGGAGCGCAGCCTCCTGTGACATTGCTCTCCTCCCCACTCCCCTGAGCCGCCTAAAAATTTCTCTCCTTCCAGTTGGATGCTGCTGAACCTATCCTAGATGTTTCATGGATTTTGGTTTCCCGCAAAACAAATTAGTGACATTAAACCCTCAGATTTTTTTTAACATAAACCAATACTGTCATGTGTGCCTTACTGTAATCCATGGTTGTTTCCCTCTTTGCTGCTCTTCCTTTTAAATCCTCATGTCTTATGCTCTGCAGAACTTCCCTTTTCAGCTCAGGGCCTCTTCCTGTAGTGCTGGCTCAGGTTACAAGCTAATAGAAACATATACACAGACACTGTGTATCCATTCCTGAGACAAGGCAGTCTGCTGCAAAACAGAAGTTCTGCAGAGCATGAGAACAGATACAGATTTAAAAGGAAGATCAGCAAAGAGAAGAAACAACCATGGATTACAGTAAGGCACACATTACACTGTTTTAGGTTAAAAAATCTGAGGGTTTAATGTTACTTTAAGCTTGTTTTTTGCGATGATTGTGTTTTAACATACAAAATAAAACCCTTGCATTGTGCGAAGTTTGGGAATATTGGTTAACATCCAAGACTCTACACTAATATATCCGAAAAAGTTTTGGGTCATTTGGTGAATTGTAGCAAAAGTTATTTGCATTTTAACTATATATATTTTTTTTGCAATCCTAAAACATTTAGCGTTATGTAAAAAGAGCTTAATGTGCCTAAAACTCAATCAATTGCCTTGAAACTTTGCACAACTTGCAAAAAACTTTAGAAGTTAACCACTTTCCCCCAAACTTCACACAATGCACATACTGTCTATTAAAGTATACACTATATTGTGAAAAGTATTGGGACGCCTGCCTTTACACGCACATGAACTTTAATGGCATCTCAGTCCGTAGGGTTCAATATTGAGCTGGCCCACCCTTTGCCGCTATAACAGCTTCACCTCTTCTGGGAAGGCGTCCACAAGGTATAGGAGTGTCTCTGGGAATGTTTGATCATTCTTCCAGAAGCGCATTTTTGAGGTCAGATACTGATGTTGGACGAGAAGGCCTGGCTTGCAGTCTCTGCTCTAATTTATCCCAAAGGCGTTTGATCTGGTTAAGATCAGCACTCTGTGCAGGCCAGTCAAGTTCCTCCACCCCAAACTCGCTCATCCATGTCTTTATGTACCATGCTTTGTGTGCTGGTGTGCAGTCATGTTGGAACAGGAAGGGGCCATCCCCAAAGCTGTTCCCACAAAGTTCGGAGCATGAAACTGTCCAAAATGTCTTGGTATGCTGAAGCCTTAAGCGTTCCCTTCACTCGAACTAGGGCCAAGCCCAACCCCCTCCACCAAACTTTACACAATGCAGTCATGCAAGTACCATTCTCCTGGCAACCGCCAAACTTGAACACGTCCATCGAATTGCCAGATAGAGAAGCGTGATTTGTCACTCCAGAGAACACTTCTCGAGTCCAGTGGCGGTGTGCTTTACACCACTGCATCCAACGCTTTGCATTGCACTTGGTGATGCAAGGCTTGGATGCAGCTGCTCGTCCATGGAAACCCATTCCATGAAGCTCTCTACGCACTGTTGTGCCAATCTGAAGGCCACACGAAGTTTGGTGGTCTGTAGCTTATTGACTCTGCAGACAGTTGCTGACTTCTGCGCGCTGTGCACTTCAGCATGCGCTGACCCCGATCTGTCATTTTACGTGGCCGAGTTACTGTTGTTCGCAGTTGCATTCCACTTTGTTATAATACCACTAAAGGTGCCCATGCACTGTATGATTATCGTACAGTGTATGCCCCCCTCAGGGGTTGCGGGCTTGCGATGATCGCAAGTACGGTCTGCCTGTCCAAGATGGGCAAATCGCACAAGCTTTTAATTAGCTTGCAACCATCGCAGGACACTCTCACTGAGCTCCTGAGAGTGACCCATTCTTTCACAAATGTTTGTAGAACCGTCTCCATGCCGAGGTGCTTGATTGTATACACCTGTGGCCATGGAGGTGATTGGAACACCTGAATCCAATGATTTGGAGCAGTGTCCCAATACTTTTGGCAATATAGTGTATGCCTTGAAAAATGCAGTACTTTTAGAAAATCTTTTTATATATAGCCACTTTTGTCAAAGGAGGGGGATGGAAAATCTGACAGCCAAAGAATGACTGTAGCCAGTGGGATGCAGTTGCTTTTCAGGCATTTTGGCAGCCACAGTTCTGCCAGCTGCTGGATACAATAACCAGCAGGGGGGATTCCTTTGATTTATTTCCCCATATGTGAAATCCATTTTTTTTTTCCATTTGTCTTCCTTTTTGCATTTCTGCAACAGGAAGCAAGGGAAAATTGCAGCACTAGTAACTGACAATTAATAATGCATTGGAGCACCTGTAAAGGATTTGTATAGATTAAAGCGAAAGTTTTTTTAACTGCGGATTAAATAGGTTACAGTGAATGCTGCTCCTTGAGGTTTAAAAGTTTGTTTCCTGCCCTTAATATCCTGTTTTAGGGTAAGTTTCCCTCCTCCCCCTCCTTGCAGGGTCCTTATGAGCCACCTTTCTGTGTGCTATAATAAGCTGTGTCTCTCTCTCTCTCTCCACAGACACAGCAAGGCAAACCACTTCCCCACCCCCTACTTCCTCCAAGCTAGTAGATAGACAGCTGCTGGAAAAATGATGGCTGTAAGAGCTTGCGCAAAATTGTGAAGAAATACTTTGTTGAGCAATGTATATTTGTTTGACCTGGATTCATTATCCTGGAGTTTAATACTAATTTAACTTGGCCATACACTGATTTTCACATTTAGCCATGTGGGCTGACCAAGAAAAAAAAAAATGCTGGTTACTTCATCTACATGGAAACACAATGGATTGGGAATGGGGAAGCCCCATGTTTGGTAACTGTATTCTGACAATGGTGGGTGTGCTGCTGTCAGAATACACGCCAATCAGCTGTAGTTACAGATCAGAGAATTTCGAAACCAGCTTTCCTTCCATCAAATGGAGGGGTGCCGACAGGGCTACACACTGGTCCTTCTGATTCAGACAAAAAGTGCATGGCCAGTTTTACACTAGGAATATAGAACAAGCAGTCTGGTTCCTGTCTGACATCCAATATTTCTAACTCTCATATGTAGGGGTACATCAGTGGCGCAACTATATGTGACCATACTAAATGAATTTGCCATATGGCAAATCGCTGACTTGTGCAGTTTCCAATGGTGATGCTTATGTAGACCCTGCCAACAGACCATTCATTGTAACAAAAATCTTCCTGTGAGTCTATGCTATAGAAACTGCAGGTGACGAAGCGTTTATGTGAATGACAGTCCAGCTATGTGTGCAGTGTCAGATCAGTAGTATCCTTCATGCTGGTGCATTGTTAATAACACTCAGTAAGTGATACCAGTGTTCACATAGCTTCCAATTGCAGATGCTAGATGCATGCCAAATGTGATTCAGCCTAATGAACATGAACTTTATATGCCAGTTGCAATACATTTTTAATGTGACAGAATACATCCCTCTGTGTTGAAGCATCCCGAGCCCTTCACTGCAACTGGAGAAGGCAGCATGGTGGTTATTCACCTGGCAGCTGGGGCTTAACCTTTTATACAAAATTGACCTGGAGGTGAAGCATGTGGAGGGGAGCGGGATCTTGTAGCTCAGATGAACCGAAGGATGGCCACTCACAACCAGTTGCTGAAGAATTGTTTAAAGAGAGGAGACTCGTTCCCCTCTGACATCACCTGGACCTGCAGACAAGAGAGACACAGGAAATTTTAGACTAAAGTGGGTTTTTATGTAAAGAGATTCTTTGCTGAGGGAAACATGGCAGCTGGGGTTACTGGCCTACTACAAATGCTGGTGACCTGACTGTCATGTTGACTTTCTGCCTTTAGTGCTTTAAGTCACCAATTCAAAACAAGTATGCAGATTCAGGCTGCCGATTCTACTGATCTGCATACATGTTCCAGGTCAATGATGGTGCTATTATGTTGCGCTCGGTCGATACCGAGCGCAACATAATAGCACCATCATACACTGGTTTATCACCAGACATTGTTGCAACTAGTTAAACTTTTGAAACACTCCCAGCGTGGCTGTTGCTGTTCATTTATGTTCCAGGTCAATGACCGTGTTAAGTCAGTGAATCAACATGACAAGCAGATAGTTAGCACCTTTTAGAAGGTCAGCAAAGGCAGCCCACATATTCCCCTTAGGAAACATTCACTTTAAAACAACCATTACACAAACTCTATGCTTAAACCATTATTAAACTTAAACCACTGTTTTCATTTAATAGTATTCCTAGGGGAAGATGTGAACATTTTAGTAATTAACCTAAACATCAGACACTTTTGGACATGTACACTTTTCCAAAAGGGAGGCTGATTTTGGGTTTGACACCTGCATATATGTACAGTATGTCAAAACATTTTGGTGTGTGATGCTGACGTGCTAATGTCAGCACCCCCTTCTCTGCATTGTTGTACTGTAAGTGCAAGATGCTGCAGTGATTTCCCCCAAGGGGCCAGGACCATGATGTCCTACCAAACATCTCAACTCACCCGGACGTTCCGGGAGTCTTTTTCAAAATCGGGGTCGCTGGCCGCCATCAGTCAGAGAAAAAAAAAAAAACACAACAGCATAGGAATGAATAGCTAGATTGCTATTGGCTATTTCAATTTGCAATAGCCGACTAGCTATTGCACCCGCTCACTGCTGTTGTCAATCAGCAGAGGTGGACCTGAAGTTCTCCATCAGGTCCTCCTCTGCTGATTGACAGCAGCAGGGTGCTCACTTATGGTTTAGAATAGAATGGGGCAGCGTTACACCTCTATCAACTTTATATTGTTTCCTTTAGTTCCTTTTTGACAGAACAGGAAGCAGGGGACAAATCTTCCTGTTTCCTGGGTAGGTGTCAGAACAGGAAATGACTGCTATGTGGACACAGACAACTTTTAAAAAACCTAACACACTCTAACCCTTCTCTAGTTTATCTCCCCCACCCCAAAAATAAAATAGTTTTACTTGGGCTTTAGCATCTCGTTCACAGCGGGAAGCAGTGAGCTGCAATGCACACATTGGCCTGCATTAATGCGCATTGTGTCAGGCAACCTACTAGTTTTCTTAATTGCTTAGCAATGCATAGAGCATATGTATCTGTGTGTTAAAGTGCACTTTCACACAGGTGCATTGTAGCACACTGTAGTTGTGCGTTGGGGTGCCGTGAATTTACAATGCAGTGCATTTCTAAGTTTTGCAATAACAATATTTATAACCCACATTGCACTGTGAAGGAGCCCTAAGAAGAATGTGTCACAAAGCAAATTACTCATGTGAGAGGCTTCAAGATGAAGCTTTAAGTACTCGACACCAAGGCCACGCGGTTGTTCAAGTGCAGTGAAAGCTGACTCAATTAACGTTACTTCTCTGGAATGAGTGTATGACCCGTTACAGGATGCCAACTTCAATCTCGGCGCGCGCACACCTTCGTGATGTGCCACAGGGCCACCATGATGAGATATTGATTGAGGGGGCTTTTGGTTGCCGGCGGCGTTTTGGATTGTCCTCCACAGTGGGTGATGTCGGCCTCCTATATTTGGGGCTCTGGTTGAGGTAATTTAATTGCGTATGTGAACGCCTCTCTCCTCTCCAATGCGAAATGCGTAGAGATGTAAACCTCCTATGAGTTTGTCCAGACACCATCTAATTACTAACCTGAACTTTGTTGGACCGTCAACACTTCTCTACAGGAATACAATCAATTTGAACACTGAATGACCACACAATAGAGTGGTATCTACTGGAAAAGTTGATGAGGCTTACTGATGTTTTTATGAGTATATGTATATAGGTTTGTATTTTAAAATGCATTTATTTTAAAATGTGTAAATAAGTATACGTTTTATGATGGATCAATTTATGCATCATAAAAGCCCAATTTGGGTAGATTCTTGGGCTGATTTCAGGGGTGAGGTGCACTTTATCTAGGACAACGGTACATTTGCTATATGTTACCATGATACTTTAACCTCTCCAGTTAAAAAGAAAAAAAAAAAACCCACAGAAAAGGGGTCATAGGACATATGGGAGAAGGAAGACACCAACTTACCTGGGTTTTAGTTGGATAATTCATCAAAGTTATGAACTTTTTGGCAGTCGCCGATGATTGTTCCCGCTCCTCCTTATTTGCTTTTTTACCTGGTAGTGGAAAATGTTTTTTTCATTACCTTTGTAGTTGCAGTAAATAAGATTTCAATTTATTTTGTTGTTCCAAATGGTTTACGGCCACAAGCAGCTTTCCACGTCTCTGTGTCACCTAAGCAAGCGCTGCAAACTACCTTTTTCGTCCCCTCTCTATAAGCCTCCAGCCTGGAAATAAGCTCCGCCCATACAGTCACAACTTTGCAAAACATTTCCAGAGATGAAACCTGACATTTCCACCTAAAAAGTTCCCATTGGTAGAATAAAAAAAAAACAAAAAACTACCTAATTCATGAAAGGGCGCAAAGAAAGAACAGTGACCAATGTTAACGATTACCTCTCCAAATGTCCCAGTGTTGTATAGTAGGTTAAAAGAGAACCAATCACAAGTGGGCTTAGGTTATAAATTGGGTACTGGAAAGATGTGGAATAAAACTGCTGGACCCGCAAAGTTTATCCTGTTGCTTTGGCTGGACATATATGAAGGGAAAGAGTCGGTATGGGTGATCAAGCGATGCAAACTGTTGGCGCTATCTAAATCCTGTATAATAATCTGACTACTGGACTGCCACCTTCTACATTCCAGAGGATCTCCACTGTTTCCCTGGTTTGTTGTGTAAAATTACAGTATTCTAAAGCACCACACTACGTCCAGATACATCTTTATTCCATGCAGGATCAAGGGGACAGTATAGAAGTAGTTAACGCGTTTCGGGGGCTAATACAAATACCCCATACATGTTCTAATTTAGTAAACCCTGATGAATCAGGACTGATGGCTTGAAACTGGATACGGTTTTGTTCAGTGTGTAAGAATGCATAGAGCTCTTTGCCAAATCAGCTGCTGAAGAGCACCATGCATTAGTGCTTAAATTGTTAGATTGCGCAGACTTACAAAAGATTTAGAATTGTCCACTTTTTAGCTGTACTTACTATTTTGAAGACAATTCTGGAGCTGGAAGTCACAGCTGATGGAGGCACTGGGGTCAGACAATTGTTTTCCAGCGAACTGCTTGACCTGTTGCTGATAACATGTATTGTTTGCCAGCTCCCTGATTGTGCATAACATTACTAACAATGCCCTATAGTTAAGAGGAATGCAGACATAGGTCTGCATGTCTGCATCTTGGACAGGCAGATCGTACTTGCGATCATGACCGCAATGCTGAACGGGCAGTGTGCCCGCACACCGGCCCCTGCGGCTTTTATCTTGAGAACATGCCACAAACCAGCCGAAAATCGTACGATTTTCGGCTGGTTTACGAACCTGTTCCTAAGATAAAAGTCGTGCGACCTTACAGTAGCAGAGGTCGCACGGCTCCCACACACCTTACGATAATCGTACGATCGATCTCTAGCCCCCAACTCTCCACACAAGAGTCTGCCTCAAAATATGTAATGCTAAATAAGGGGATAAATATGTATTCAATTGCACATGATGCCCAAACTTACCGTTCCACACGAAGATCTTCCCTGCTGTGTCCAGGATGAAGCAGTCATCTGAGAGGAGTTGCTCTTTACGGAAAGTACCACCATCAGCCACGCGGGTCACCTTTACCTCTCCAGTAGCGTTTGAGACCTGTATAAAAGGGACATAGTACAGTTATGGTGGCCATACACACATTAGTAAATAATCTTCTGCATCTATTAGGTCGATCATAAATGATCATGTAAACCACCATATGCCTAAATAACACTCTTCAATTCTTAATGGATAATTTTCTAATATACCCCTAAGAAAACAAAATGACTTTGTTATTACAATCACTGAAAATGTGATTGGTTTGAAAATTAAGTTTCGATTATTCAGTGCGCTCGCTAGATGTATGGCTGGCACTCAGAACCACATTGGTGTGACTTCATGATTGAGGTAGGTGATATGACCCAGCTTTTTCAAGTCAACCGGTCATTCAGTGGCAATGTATATGTCCTCATTTATCACAATGCAAGATCTAGTAACCAGTGCCTTTATAGCAGTGGTGGTCAATTTAATTAATATAGGGGAGCCCTTAATATCACCAGAGGGCCACACATAATTTGTATTGCATGGAATGTTACAGAAAACCACCGGAGACAGTAATCAGTGGCAGTGAGCATATTTCAGGACATGATCATAGTTACATTGTATTTGAGGTTGAATAAAGACATAAGTCCATCAAGTCCAACCTATTGCGTGTATGCATTTATGAGCTGGTGTGTGCATGTATATGTGTCCATGTGTGATTTTCTCTTAGCAATACCTGTACCCCTGTATATTATGGTCTCCCAGGAACTCGTCCAGGAGTCTCTTGAATGATTCCACACTCTTAGCTGAGATCACTTCCTGTGGCAGCGACTTCCAGACCCTCACCGCGCTAACTGTAAAGAACCCCCTGCGCCCTGTGTGGTGAAATTTTTTTTCCACCAATTTGTGGTTGTGCCCTCTGGTCTTTGTTACGGAGCTGTCACCCTTGAATAGTTTATACATGAAAATCATGTCCCCCCTTAATCTCCTAACCTCCAACGAGAACATATTTAATTTTAAACAACCTTGTTTCATAGTTCAGATCCTCGAACCCCTTGATGAGTTTGGTTGCCCTCTTCTGGACTTTTTCCAGCTCAAGGACAACTTTTCTGAGTATCGGTGACCAAAACTGGACCGCATACTCCAGATGTGGCCAAACCAGTGATTTATAAAGTGGCAAAATTATAGACTTGTCCCTGCAATACATTCCCTTCTTAATGCAAGACAGGACTCTGGTAGCTTTGTTTACAGCAGCCTGGCACTGCAAGCTATTCAGAGACTGCAGATATACAGGTGAAACTCGAATAATTAGAATATCGTGCAAACGTTAATTTATTTCACTAATGCAACTTAAGAGGTGAAACTAATATATGAGATAGACTCATTACATGCAAAGCAAGATAATTCAAGTGGTTTGTCATAATTGTGATGATTATGGCTTAAACCTGTACAACAGTGGTGCTAGGAGACTGTCAGAAACTGGAGAGATGTTACAAAAACTGTTAGAGATCACTGCCATTACAAGGCTCCCTACAGCCTACTTAAAAAATAATATTTCTCTCAGTAAGAAAGTAAAAGATAGAGAAAAAAAAATACACGGAAAAAAAAACACATAATAAAAAATAAAAAACAGAAAAAGTTAGCAAGTTTGATAGAAATAAATCAAATAATTTAGCTAGTACAAACTAGATTAATATATTCCCTCATTGTCCCTGGGTAAGCACCTAGGCAAGAAAAATACTGACTACTGGATGCTGGGGCTTGAGGGCCGCACAGTAAGTACCAGGGCTTTGTATTCATTGTATTCAGCTTCTAACTTTTTTTAACAGTACAAAATTCTAAAATTGATTGTAGATTGTTATTAGACAAAATATTGCTATGAAGGCCGGGATGCATTCATACATTTGAAACATAGAGGCGACTATTTTGTTTATGGCAAGTATTTATTTAGCACCAACAATGTGATTTACATATTGTGTCAGTTCCCACCCTCAAGGAACTTACAATCCAAGTTCCCTATCTTACACACCTACATACCAGGGCAAATTTACCTACGAGCAAGTCTTTGGTAGGAAACTTGTAGAACAACATGCAAACTCTATACAGGTTGAATCCCAACCAGGGCACTAACTTAGTATCCGAATGCTGCAAGGCAGGAGGGCTAACCACTAAGCCACTTTGTATCGGAGACCTGTAAACCAAAATATGACAGCATAATGAAAGCCATACACTGCGTGTGTGAAATGTATTCTAGTCCAATCCAGAGCTAGCCCGTAGCACTTGTGCTTCATTTGTGACAGGCAGGGGCGTAGCTAGAAATCACAGGGGCCCGTAGCAAAATTTTGTATGGGGCCCTGTGATTTCTAGTTATGTCCCTTGCAGAGCCCACCTGAGTGACCCTGCAGAGCCCACCATAGGCTCTATGGTGGGCTCTGCAGGGTCTCAGGGGGGCTGGTCACACCCCTGCACACCTCTTACCTGTCAACCCTGATACGCTGTTCGCCTCCTCCTCCTGCACAGGGCCCTCCTCCTCTTCCATTGCCGGCCCCTCCTCCTCTGACGTCGCTGGGCCCTGCCTCCTCCACCGCTGCCGAGGCTGGGCCCAGCATCCTCCGCCGCAGCTGCTGGCTGTCACTGACACAGCAGCGGCTGTGAGGAGGAATGCGCCGCTGCGAAGATCACTGACAGGTTGTCTAACAGTGACACGTTCCTCCTCACAACTGCCAGTGACGGCCAGCAGCCTGCGATGCCATAGCGACCCAGACGGCCTGCATGGCATCGGGGGGTTGCCCGGGCCGGGCCCCCCTGTGCCCTGGATCCCATAGCGGCCGCCTGGGTCATTATGGCGATTGTTACGCCACTGTTGACAGGTATAAAAGGGTACTTGCTACAAATAGGCAGAACTCCATATCACCAAAATCTTAAAGGAGTAATTCAAACTGGGCAAAAAAGCACAAAATCCAAACTGGAAATAGTGTTTTATAGTTAAACAATAAAAGTGTCTATTTATGAAGGATTTACTGGGAAACTAGTCAGTTAAATCCTTTACTGACTTTGCCCAAGTCAGATTCGATGGTATTCCTCCTGTATTCCACAGTAAAGCAGGCCATACATAAATGAAAACCTCATTTATGGTTAAAATTTTGTTCAATTAAGAAAATATTTCCATCCTATTTCTTCGATTTTTGTTTTGTTTGTTATTACGGTTGAAAAAGATGGTCAATTTGACCCCATTAAATAATACAGGATCAAAAGAACGTTCCGAAAACACTTTTTTTTTCCAAACAAAATTTTACTGGTGTATGGCTAGCTTTGGAATGTGCACCAAAAGAATGCAGCAGCTGCTGAACTGTCTCCGTATGTCACTTGAACAGTAGATGTAACTATTAGGAGTTTACCTCTGCTGGCACAGGCTCTACATGGTGCTGAAACTAGTTACACATAGTTTTAGTCCCGGTTCATACCACAGGTGTTTGTGGCTCGTATTTGTCAGCACAGAAAGGTTCTGCACAAGAAATCCTATTGATAGTCCCTGTTCACATCTCAGCGAAGCGTCGCGCTGAGAAAAAAGCTGGTCGCTGGAAAAAAGTACATGAGCTTCTTTTTTGGGCAGATTAGCTCAATTAGTATTGGAATAGGAAAAAGGGTCACATTGCACTGATCTCCCAAAAAAGAGGCGCATACTTACAGGCTTGTGTGGAGCTTTTCCGTGCTCCATGTGAACGGGGACTTAGTGCTAGGAGGGTTAACTGTCATTTTTTTTTTGTAAAACAAAATTTAATAAATGGAGTGACCCCCACCTTGCCTCAACCTCACTAACAAAACCCCATGTTTTTAGTGTAACCCTTCTCAAAGCACCCCACAATGCTCAAGGGTATACAGGATGATATCAGCATAGCAGGTATGCTGCATGTTTACTACTCTCTTGCTATGGGGATATCAGCCCTTATGCCTACCGTAGTTGTGGCAAGCATGTTCATTTTTGATGTTTACATTTAAAAAAAAATAACAATTTTGTGGGCAATCTTTGCTGAAAATGAAATGATTCAACTGCTCAAATAGACAAACCAGTTAAAAATAGGTTTTGAGGGAATGTCAGGTGACTATGCATGTTTTCTAGCATAGGGTGAATGTTAGAGACCTTTTCCTATTAAAGGAGAACTATGGGGTCAGTGTTTTTCCCCATAGTTCTCCTTAGGGTAACGGGAGGACACAAACTAGCGTCCGTCCGTTACCCTAAGCTCAGTATACCGCGAGCTACAGCTCGCGGTGTACTGAGACGCCGCACCTGGAGCGCATCCCGACGTAGCTGACGGGATCCGCCCAGCTGCGTGAGTGACAGCTGGCTCTGCCTATCTAGAGGCAGAGCCAGCTGTACCCACCCCCTCCCCCGTCCGTTCTGCCAGTCAGCGCTGGCAGATCGGAGAGGGGAATCCAGCCCCTCCCCCTGTCACTGCAGAGAGCCGTGACAGGATCGAGAGGTGAGCGAACCCGGTATGTGTTCGCTCACCTCCCGATCTACTGAGCCGACCCGTGACAGTCTCATTGTCACAGGTCGGCTAGAACTATGAGGTGAGTGGAAATCACTCATCTCATAGTTCTCCTTTAAAGAACAAATGTTGATGAATATCAGGGAATATCATTTTCAATTAGGCGATTTACCACTTCCTTGGCTTGCTATATAAGGCGATAGTCCACCAAGAAAAAAGAAAAAAAAAAACTTTGCCGGGGATGGACTTTACAGAAGACTTGTCACAAAAGTGGGATATGCAAACAGATGCTAAATTTCAGGAAATGTCATTTGTAACTGGGCGATTTACTACTTATTTATATAGGGTGATAATTCACCAAAGAAAAAAATATATAGTTTTTTCCGGGGGATGGGATTTACAGAAGACATGTCACAAAAGTGGGAAGTGGACACTGTCTGTGATAGAAAAATATATATATACAGTAAATTGAGTTTATCACTCACTGCTGGGCTTGTCATTACCTGCTACCAACCATCCCAGCATAGGCCCATGTGCCCATCTTTGCTCCTGTGATTTTGCCTCCCTTGCTGAAGGCACTAAACTTTGAACATGATCAACAGCAATCTTATCCTGCCCCCAGGGCTTGTATACACAGGTATTGGAGAGGAGTTTACCATGTATTTACCATACATTCATTCTGACTCATTTGATGAAATAAAAGCACAGCACAAATGAATCTTCAACTGGGTTTACCTAATCTCAAATGCCTGTGTACATGAGCAGTTATTCCAGCCCTAATTCTATAAGAATAATTAGACAAACAAATGATCTTTATTCAAGCCTTAACCAGTTTGACAATTTTCTGACCCTTCCTCACTGAAAACTAAAAACAACAACAAAAACCTGCCACCTACAATGTGCTATTACCCACTACATGATAGTAATAAAGTTAAGTAAAACAAAATGTAAATAAAATTAATTTAAAAACACTGCAAAACTTTTACGTTCCCGGCCCCCAAGTGCATTCACATACTAACGCAAACAAGCATCTGATGCACCTATGTATGAAAATGATGATTGTGCCACACACATTAGGTATTGCCATGCACGCCAGAGTGAGAGCAATAATTCTAATTCCATTATTCAGTTAACTCTAAACTGATGACCTGTAAAAGCTTTGAAAGTGTCAAGTGGACAATTTTCAGTACTGTATTTTTAGCGTGACATGTTTGGTATCAATTTGCTTGGCACAACCTCACCTTTTATATATATTTTTTTTTTTTAAACGATATTACAGTGTGTTTATGTGCACTAACATTATTAAGGTATCTTTTACAGAAATTTAGGTTTAAGAAACAGATGCGCTAATATCGTACGACATAAAAAATTGCAACAGACACCATTTGATTGTACAGTTTCTCTGCTTTTAGAAAATATATAATTTTGAGGGGTTGTAAGTAATCTTCACATAGACCTGCGGTCACATGGAGAGATCATATCCCTGCATAAGTTCTAATTCCAGAGGTTCGAAGCTTCTACAGGAGTTACTCCTGGGAGCTGAAGGGAATAGCAAGGGATCCAAGGCAAGTTAAGTATAAGTTGCTGGGGATGGCAAATTAAAAATGAACCTCTTGCTTACCCTGTGTGGATAAAACACAGGATCACCACCAGTGACGTGCGGTACCTCTGGTTCCGGGTGAGGCATTCCCCAGCCTCGCCCCCAGCACATCTTGCCACCGCCGCCCGAAGCCCCGCCCCAAGCTAGTGTGAAGGAGCAAGTCCCTCACTTGCTCATCACTGCTGAGGCATCGAGATCGCTGGCCTCAGTGTGTGTTTTTTTTCCTTTTTTTTGATTGGACAACTTGGACCAATGGCGCTTTGCCGTTGGTCCAAGCCATCCACTGAGCTCACGCCTCTAACAAAGAGTAGAGGCTGTGACAGCTCTTGGCTCTATAGTTAGGTTACACAAGCAGTGGGGAAGGCCGCTGTTGTGTAACCCAACTACCTGTCAAAAGCCAGATGCAGCGCTGCCTGTAATTTTAACAGGCAGCGCTCAATCCATGACAGGTTACACAGCGGGGAGGCTGTAACCTGATAGAAGCCGATCTGAATGGAGAAAAAAATGCGGTCAGCTACAGACTTGAAGCCGACAGCTTTTTCCTCCATAATACTAGGTGAGGCTCTGCCTCACCTGCCTCCCCTGACCGCACATCCCTATTCACCACCTAATGCTTAGAATAAAGCTCTATCATTTAAAACATAACCTTAACCCTCAACCCTAACATTAACCTTAAAGTGCATCTAAACCCAAGAATTAAAATATTATATATTGCAGCTTATCAGTCCTTTGATGTGGTGATTGTATTAACTTGCTTTTTACAGACAAAGTACATTTTCTGCAAGTACAGAAAAATATGTTTTGATCCTGCTAGAAATCGAATGCAGCTTATTATGCACTATAGAAATCTCAAAACAACGTTATTTGCTTTCCTAGTGATCTTCTTTTGACTATAGAACTCCATTATGGAGATGAGGAAAGTGGGAGGTGCTTGTAGTCCAAATAAGGAGAGTAGTCTAGGGATCTGCATAGATACATAACAGTGAGTGGACATTGTCACCCTCTACAGGAGGCATGTTACTGGCAGGATCACCAGGAGAAAATAAAGGAAAAAAACACCTGAAAAAAGGAAATGTAATGCAGCAACTTCCTCTAAGAGCTGATAAGCTGCAGCATTTTGTTTTTTCGGGTTTTAGATACACTTTATCCCATTGCATCGAGATGGGCTGCACCCAGATTGGCTCTCTGAAAGCCACCGATTCACATTTTTCTAATTACCAAAACTACATGATAGGCTTGTGCTGCTTTGCCTAGGAGAAGACACAGAACATGATATATTTTGTGCGAGGGACACTTACCTGGTAGAGCACAGCTCCCCTGGTGTGAATCTCATCTGCCTCCTTGTCGTCCTGTGTGCTCCCTTCTTTCAGTTTGTCCGGCCTCTGCCCCAGAATCTGTTTCGAATTCAAAATGAAGGAGTGTAAAGAAGAAAGAGTGTAAAGAAATGTCCCTCATAGCAGTAACAGGCCAACCTCCACCAAGAATTCACAGACACCAGTCATAACAGTAAAAAAAAAGGATGCCATTTCCTATCTCCTTTTGAAAATGCAAGTTGCCCGGCTGTCATTCTCATGCTCTGGCTTCAACACTGAGAATCACTGACCTGAAACAAGGATAGAGCTAATGAAGTCAGAACTCTGCATCTGAAGTCAACATAAAGCAATCAGTATCTTTAGAAGGGGGTCAGCAATGGCGTCACAAGTTACATTTAAAAGGGTAATTCCACTTTCCTAGGGGAATTTTGTAAAATGGAATTACCCCCTCCAACTCTTCTGGGAAGGACAGCCTTCCCAGAAGAGTTGAAGCTGATATAGCGGCAAAGTGTGGCCCAACTCAATATTGAACCCTACAGACTGGGATGCCATTAAAGCTCATGTGCGTGTAAAGGCAGGCATCCCACTAATGCCAAGTGTAAAGTTTGGTGGAGTGGGGATTATGGTGTGTGGTTGTTTTTTTTAAGGGGTTGGGCTTGGCCCCTTAGTTCCAGTGAAGGGAACTCTTAAGGCATCAGCATCCAAGACAATTTGGACAATTTCATGCTCCCAACTTTGTGGGAACAGTTTGGGGATGGCCCCTTCCTGTTCCAACACGACCAGTGCGCAAAGCAAGGTCCATAAAGACATGGATGAGCGAGTTTTGGCTGGAGGAACTTGACTGGCCTGCACAGAGTCCTGACCTCAACCCGATAGACACCTTTGGGTTCAATTAGAGCGGAGACAGCGAGCCAGGCCTTCTCGTCCATCAGTACCTGACCTCACAAATGTGCTTCTGGAAGAATGGTCAGACATTCCCATAGACACTCCTAAACCTTGTGGACAGCCTTCCCAGAAGAGTTGAAGCTGATCTAGCTGCAAAGGGTGGGCCAACTCAATATTGAACCCTACGGACCAAGACTGGGATGCCATTAAAGCTCATGTGCGTGTAAAGGCAGGCGTCCCTATACATAGATATATCTATATATAGATATATCTATAAAGATCTTATACTTTGCAGATCTTGTCCTTCCCCCAGCATTAGACAGTGAGTAAAGCAGCAGCAGACGTATGAGCTCATCTCTCTGTCACTCTACTCTCTGCCCCTTCAGCATTCCCTTTGTTCTACAACACAACTGATTCTAAAATTGGCTCTGTGTACTGCTTACATTGTGCATTTATATCTGCCTGGAGTTCAGCTTTCAGGTAAATCAATCACTCATAAAGGCACAGCTCAGCAGCCACTAATATATTTGCTGATAAGGTGTTACAGGGCACTTGCTTGTCCATAATGTATTTTACTGAAAAACCTGGCCACACAACCCAGGTGTTGCAGCCTGACCCGTACGCCGGCAGCTGTGGTAGCCGAGACATGTGGGTGCATTCTGTAAGCCGGACTACTGTGTGGGTCAATACCCCACAGAGAACCACATTTTTTGTTTTGGATGCGGGTGTTCCATTAAGTACCTGAATCATTTCTTCAGGCTCCTCCCCTTCCAGCATAATTTCCACTTTTGCAGCTCCGCGTCTTTCACTGTCTCGTATTTGATAAGCCAGATCTCTTGCTCGGTTCCTCTCCATCATGTTTGACTGAGATCCCGACCAGACATAGATAAACTAAAGTGGAAAGAGATTTCAGGTATTATAATTCCTTTCTTGGAAGAGGCACATAATGAATTGGAACAATAGCCAACTTTTTCATTGTCAAAGGGAAATATACAGTGTTTGAATGTTATTATATTTGGGGCCCAAACGTATTTAACAAAACCAATATGGGAGGAAGTGTTCTTGTTGCAACTAGTAATTAATCCGATTGCAGTTTTTATTCCCCTAGTGCATTATGGGTCCCCAAACTGGTGTCTGTCAACCAAACACCACAGGAATCAGGAGCTAATTCAATGTGCTGGTACCTACCTCCCTACTTAAACTGGGTACATTTCCTCCTTAATAACCAAGAGGAGCATCTGCATAATATGACCAATCCCCTACATTTGGTGTTCAGAATCTTAGAGGAAGGGGTAGGGGGGGATTTGGGGGCAGTTCTGGTACTCACGTTTGGGGGGAATGCTGATGGGATCCTGGTGCTGCACTGCCCTGCTCTGGCCAGTGTCCCGTTCAGCTTACTGACTTCACTGGTTGCCAGAAGCTGGGGAGGACACAACACATCTCCCTGCCCAGCTCTTAGCATCCTGGGATGCTCTTGCTGGAAAGGAGGTGGCTCTGCCTGCTAGCCCCCCACTGGACCCAAAGAGATGCCGCCTGTGGAAACAGCCTCAGGCTGCCTTATTTTCCCTGGACAAGAGAACAGTGGCCAAAATGTTCTAACCTGCAAACCCTACTGCAAATCTGCTCCAAAGCGAATCCAGAAAACTAAAATGCTGTGATGACATCACAAAGTGGCGACCAATTAGGTCATGCAACCTGGACACTGACAAGTCACATTGTAACCCTCCCCCGCTCTATAAAAGTTTTGGCTGGAAATGTGCATTATTTGGTTTGCATGTGCTATATGATTTTTGTTTTTGTGTGTCAAGCATACCTTGTAGTGACCTATTTGGAGCTAAGGGTAGTATAATGAGCAATAAGGAAGGGAAAGGGTGGAACACATACAAATATTACCTGATATATTGTAGAAAGAGGGAGAAAGTGGAAAGATGAGCTTCAGATGAAAGAGAAGAGCTAAGTACAGCATCCAGTGATGAGGAAAGATAGAAACTAGAGCTCATACATTCTAGAAGGTTACAATAGTCCATCTGTAGGAGGATGATGGCAGCCTAGGAAAGAAGCAGACCAGATCAGAGCACCCTGGTGACTTGTGGACCCAACATCAGACATTATTGGCGACAAGCAAGAGATAAATGTACAATTTGGTCTGATTTTGTAGCAATCTTAAAGACTATGACACCAGCAGACGTCCGTTCAACCAAAACAAGCACATGCAGGATACATACACTGTTCAATATAATCATGAGAAATCATCACATATACATTGGATTCAACAACAACAACAAAAACAATACACATAAGAAATACCAATAAATTATTAAAAGGTAAACATGCCATCAGAGACACCACCACTGTACTAACACAACCAGAAGCATGCCCCATCACACAGTAAGGTGGGGGTAAGGTAGATGCAGACAGGCAGCAGACTAGGTTGGTGACATTTTGGAGCTGCAAATATACATTGAAGTTTATAGATGGAGGGGGGTTGGCTGATATTAGGCTGTGGGAGCCTTTAAGTAGCAGCGGGTAATACCAACCATAACAATCTGGATCAGATGAAATTGATCTTTTGTCTGTAGGAACCTTCAAAAGTAAGCAAGCACAACCAATTGGCCCTTCCAAATTGTACCATGAAAATTGTGTCATGGTATTGCATTGGTGGGCACGGTGAAAGGTGTTTATTCCTAAACAGACCCACCAGCATAACATAGGCTATTAATGCTAGACAGGTAAGCAAATGCCATCCTAACCCCTGGCTCAGTCCTTTGCTGGCCAAAGATAACAGACCTCAGAGAAGACTTTCTGTCTTAGATTTCTCTAAATTTTTTAGATAATGATCTCAAGGGAAAGATAAAGGAAAGATAGTCCCACACAGCCAAATGCCTCAGCACGTGAACACTTCACCTTCCCTCTCATCGTGCCTTATTTTAGCAGAACTGAATTTGCTCATGATCTAATGAGAGCTTTCCTTGCTATGCCCCTGCATGGGCTTTGCTGTCAATCACAACTATGTAGTGAAGTGTTTAGTCACATACATAGCTAGTGAGTACAGAAGGGCGTCCAGAGGCTGGGTGTCTCCCGGAGCGGTTGCCGGGTGACACTGTCAGTCATTTTGGTGTCACCCCTCCAACGGTGTCACCCAGGTGCGGGACGCACCCCCCTTGTAACGCCACTGAGTGCGTGCGTGATATCAGCTACCCTCCCATTATCAGAAAAGGAGGTAACAATTTTATTCAGCTCTATTTGGCGATTTCAAACATTTCCCAATTGAAACAAACTTTCCATTGAACTAAAGTTCATCCTACACACTAAATAAATAAATGTACCTTTCCTGTGTCCAAGATGAAGCAGTCACCTGTGTTGAAGCTGTCCCACTTTAGGTCTGTCTCAATTGCACGAATGTGTTTGCGACCTCTCACGTGGTAGAGATGGTGGGTAGGGGCCACTGGGTCTTTCTGTGCCTGCTGAAAACCTGAGGATACACCTCCTTCCTGTGATAAAAAACGCACAGAGTAATAACAGAAGACAGAAAAAATGGTTAAAAGAGACTGTACAGAAAAACCATGAAAAACACCCTCTGTGGAATGCTTGGCGGGTTAGTATTGTAGATGGCTCTGTTTTCTTAGTAGCTCTTCAATTAGCGTCCTCTAACAGTTTCATTTAGCAATAGTCATTAGTGACATAAGCATCAGAAGTTAGGGGCGTGAGGAGTCTATACAGTGTTAGTATGTTACAGGGTGAATCACACAAAGGCCAAATACTGGGTGTGAAAGACAAAAAAAAAAAAAAATGGAATTGCGAATTTGACAGTTTTTCCTTTAATAGAACAAACAGAGGCATAGCAAAATAATACTCCTAATGAAAAGGAAGACAGTTATAAAAAATATTTGAAATTCCACTGCTGATTTAATGATTACATGTGGTTTAGATATATAGTTCGTCATAGCATGTCATACAGAGGAAAGAAGGGGGAAGAACTTTACAGCGTACATTTCTCATGTAAGAGATGTATGAAAGATAAAAACACATGACAGCTGCTATCATTCTCCCTAATGCAAAGACTCCACAGATTTTAAAATCACTCTGTGTATTGGACTAAGAGTTGCCCCCAGAGCGCTCAGCTCTCAGAGTCAGAAAACCAAAAAGCATCAGTATACATGTTAAGACATTTCAACTGGTGCCACCAAGTACTGGCTGGCCTGTTTTGTCTGCAATCTTAGTTATACTTTCTAGTAAGCCAAAAAAGTGCTCTTATGAGTACCCAACAGAAAAAAATGTTCTGTTCAAATGGTGACCTCTATCCAAAAGTTAAAGGCATCTGTTTTAGACCGAGTCCCTAGTCTGTCAACATTTCACCCATATCCATCCAACTCTCCACAGTGCACACTGCACTATATTTGCTAGATTTGTGCAGGTCTGAATTGTCCTGTTAAAACTGGAACAGATGGGAGTCGGGGATGGTCATAAAAGGTTCCTACTGGGTCAAATTTCAGCACACATAGATAGGTAATGGCCAAGGTCGGCAAGGCTGGAAGGGGCGGCTTACACATCAGCTGTCAGTAACACATTCTTCTGTATAATAAAAGGTTTCAAACTGCCACCCTTCCTGCAATCTGACAGCATTCGCATTGTTGCTGCCCCGTATATATTTGTTGAAGGATTAGTGTAATTACAGTTTACTCACTCTGTCACCCATGTGGCAATGGGACAGTCTGCCTGATCTAGTCATTGCTCCTAGGTGTACTGATGGCCAAACTGTCTCTTTCAGCCTATATTATTGGATTTTATTACTGGGATACTAAGGCTAGCCAATCAATTTGGGTAGGAACGGGACTAGTATATCATTCTTTCTTACCCACTAATAGAATAGTTCAACAGTAAGTGTGCTGTGTCTGGTTGGTCTGCTGTTTGTAAAAGGCTCATTCCATATGGGAAAAGGAACCCTGACCACTGAAAGCATGGTGGGGTGAAGACTGACCCTGTTCGATCCCCCCTTCCCAGATACATTATGTGGCATTATGGTTTTCTAAAGACTGTTCTCTGTGGGGGTAGGAACTGTGGTAAGATTTAAACGTGTGTGATCTGAAGCTGCTTTGGTCACCGGAAATACCAACCCTTCCTGTTTTGCTTGCCGTCATGGCTTTATTGGCAGAGACTACCTTTCCAGCATTTAAATGGTCCCTATTTTACTTCCTTGTGGGTGTTGGTTAGTGGGATGTCTGTCTAGAACTTGCGGTTAACGCTATAGGCCAGATTATGCAAGTTTAGTGCTTATAGTTTATCATTGGCAAAGAGTTTAACAGTTTAATAAAGCTGTAGCCTTTCTAATACTAAATCATATACTCCAATACAAAAAAATATATTTGGGCCTGCTTTGGGAAGAGGGGCTATGTTGTTGCGGGATGCCTATGCTTCTCAGCAGTTAAATATCGTGCCACTCTAAGTGCACACAGGCACACAGCCAATTTGTAACTATTTGTATTCTAATGCTTACCTAGGCTCTCATAGGGAGCCATTGAGATTAAAAGGTGATTGCAGTGTGAATGTGAGCCATTGCTATAAAAAATGTATTCAATATAGTGTGACACACAGCAAGCTCAATGCACTTTTTTAATGCAGTGTGCATCCATAAACACATGCAACTTATGGAAAATATACTGAGATATACTGAAGACTTAATTCAAACTAACTCCAAATGATTCCAAAATCATTTGAACTAACAGAAGGTGCTTACTTACCAAATATGTCACCCCCCGTGGGAATAAAGACATAAACTCTACACTCTCATGCCCCTGCGTCTCGTGGTTCTGAGTTGGCTTTTCACCCATATGCATGTGAAGTTGAGAGCTGTAGATGGCTCCAGCTGCCTTTTCATCAACTGTCGTACTACTTCCTGTGTGTGGACCAGACCAAGAGTCAGTCAAAAATGATTGTGGAGCAGAAGCACTTCATCAGAACTCACTTTTTCACAATAGCCTCACTTAAGACAAAAATATTTAGGTTTGGGTGAAATTTCCATGAAGACCTCATTAGCTACTCTCAAACAGTCATGGCTGTGTCAATGTGTGCAAGAGGTTATAACACATGTAGCAAGCAGGTGACTGCCACCTTTCTAACCATAGCAGAAAAAAGGCACTAAAGATAGTGCATGGCTCACAGTTTCTCAGGTCATACAATTTTGGGCAAATAAATAGTACTGTAAACATGAAAAGTTTTCCCCAATGAGAAAATTATGTTTGTAAGCTATATATGAAACAGTATCAAACAATATCAAAAGGTACAGGAGTCACTGATGTCACATGTGCATGCATATTACATATTTACATAGTTACATAGTATTTGGGGTTGAATAAATACATACGTCCATCAAGTCCAACCCATATAGGTCCACGCATCATCTCATTCTTAGGGATACTGGTATCCCTGGATATTACGGTCCCTCAAGAAATTGTCCAAACGTTTCTTGAACAAATCTACACTCTTGGCTGAAATTACTGCCGATGGCAGTGAGTTCAAGACCTTAACCACTCTTACTGTAAAGAACCCTCTTCGCCCATTGTGCTGGAATTTTTTCTCCACCAACTTTAGGTGGTGGCCTCTAGTCTTTGTAATGGAGTTAATCTCAAACAGTTTGTTGCCAATGTTGCTGTCACCATTGAACATCTTGTACATGAAAATCATATACCCCCTTAATCTCCTTAATTCCAGCGTAAACATGTTTAAGGTCAGAAGCCATGTCTCATAGCTCTGGTCCTCCATTCCCCTAATTAGTATATTGATCATTTGAATATTTAAGATGGAATTAAAAACATGCAAAAATTTTATTTATACAACCAAAATGTTAACAAATATCCACTTTCATATATTTTCCTGGTGACATTGGTTTAAGACTTTACAAAAAATGTACCCAGTTCTTCTAAATGCTAAACTCGCGTGTCCTTCAAGCTACTTTGTACTCATGAAAGAGAAATGAAAGTTAGACTGTGGGTTGGTACGGCGCCATACAGTGCCTATGTATGCCTGCCCCACCATGCACCATGAAAAGCCTAGCAGATCGAGATTTTCAAAGAAATCCAAAAGAAAGATCAGATTGGTCAGCTATAGGAAAGAACGTTTCATTAATGGGGCAGTTGTAACCTAGAACTGCACTAAACACATTTTTGGGAGCCAGACTCTCTCTCCCCATGCCTCACCATTCCAGACATAGATGCTGTTGCCTTCAGAGGAGTTGAAGATGAGCAGGTAGGTGTCCCCAGAGTGAAACACACCGTGACTCTCCACTGGCACTGAGATCAGCTTCATCTTTTCAATGCGGAAAACGTGAAGCCCGGGCTCCGAAATGGATGAGGGGAAGCGAAGATCTCTGTGACAGAAGAAAAAATTAATATGGCAAAGATTAAAAATGTATGCTCCATTCAAAATGGATAAACCGCCTCTCTGATGGACATAGCATGTTTTCATAATGCCTGTGTCTTGACTTTTATGGTCTCAACCAAACCTCCCTGCTCTGCAAATTTCTGCCATAATTTCCAACTCTGTTCCTGTTCTCTTGGGAATTTCAGGTGTTCCTGCACACCTTTGTGTATTCCAGCTCCTCCCATACCTCCTCCATAAAATAAAAATCCAGCAGGGATGATGGGAACCCCTTATAATAAGCACAGCTAGTGTGAATAGCCAGGAACTCAGTGCAGAGAACGTACCAATCTTCAGAAATAGAAGAAACTGTCCAATGGTTTTACTCTCTAGCATTCACAAAACACTTAAAAAACCGTTGAGTTGACTGAACTTTGTTAAGCCTTAAGGGCTCAGGTTTGGGAAGGGGTTATTGCCAGAATTCAGCTCCTGCAGCTGCCTACTTATTTTCCATGTGTCCTGATACGCTCTTCATCCGAGAGAGGGAGCAGCATGACCCCTTTGTAAGCTTTAAGTTACTCTGGCCAGAGCTTACACAGGGACAAGTCCTTTCCTGGTCCCTATGGCAGTGCTGGGACTGGCAATTGGCAACATTTCAATAAAGTCATCAGGTCAACCACTGGTGATTTTAATGGCCAGTTCAATTGGTAAGAGCATGAGCACCAACCGCCAGGTGTAAACATGCCAAAAGATAAAACCGATATCAGCACTAAACCATAATTGCAACTTAAATTACAGACTTCTGTTAGTTTACTCTGTCGCTAAACCAACAAATGTTACAGCAGTGTATGCGGGCACCTTCTACAGTCCCGTGACACTATCATAATTGAGAAATGTATGTGTATGTATGTTGCCCTAGGCTTTTTATCCAACCTGAAGTCTGAGTCATTTTCAAATGCCATTAGAAAAGAGAAGTGGCAGTAGAATAAGACATCAGTAGGCTGAACTGAATAGATTTTTGGGCATGAATACTTCAGCATCCATGCGACTATGGGAATGACAGTGGAATTTTCTTTGCCTTAAAAGGAGAACTATGGGGTTAAGGCTTTTCCCCATAGTTCTCCTTAGGCTAGGTTCACACCTAGGCGTATTGAATATGCACGTCTGTCGCGCGTTTCACGCATTTTTACCGTGATTCGCTGTAAAAAAACACGCGACAAACGCCCGTTTCCGAGGGCTACTTGGCTGTATCCCAATGGAAATGCGAGACCAAAACGCCCCAAAGAAGTACATGTACTTCTTTGGGCGTAGGCCGTTTTGTATCGCGTTTGGATGGGCGGAAATACGGCAAGGTGTGAACCAGACCCATTGAATACAATGGGATTTAGATGTTTGAGCGTTTTGTAGAGCGTTCGTCGAGCGTTGAAGGCGCTACAAAACGTTCAGGTGTGAACCAGGCCTTAGGGTAATGGGAGGACACAAACTAGCGTCCTCCCGTCACCCTAGGTCAGTATACCGCGAGCTGTAGCTCGCGGTATACTGAGACACCGCAGTATACTGCGAGCTGCTGCTCTCGGTATACTGAGACGCCGCAGCTGAAGCGGATCCCAACAATTGTGCCGGGATCCGCCCAGCTGCGTGACTGACAGCTGGCTCTGCCTATCTAGAGGCAGAGCCAGCTGTACCCGCCCCCTCCCCCGTCCATTCCGCCAGTCAGCGCTGGCGGATCGGAGCTGGGAGGGGGGAATCCAGCCCCTCCCCTGTAACGGCAGAGAGCCGTGACAGGATCGAGAGGTGAGCGAACCCGGTATGTGTTCGCTCACCTCCTGATCTACTGAGCCGACATGTGACAGTCTCATTGTCACAGGTCGGCTAGAACTATGAGGTGAGTGAAAAGCACTCACCTCATAGTTCTCTTAACTATTTGTGCTAAAATGTGACCCTCTGCCACCAGAGAGAGTTAGAATGTGCCTCTGAATGCTACTCTATGCATGTGGGCTGTACTCAGGAGCCCCTGGGTGCATAAGTATTATGCTTCATGTAGGACTTAAATTAAGTGCCAGTCCAAATAAAGCTTTTTAAAATTTCTGGACAGAGGTAGAAAAGGTTAGAACCTCTTCACTATATAATTTGTAGAAAAAAAGATCACCAAACTATCTGCAGTCCATCAAGGACCCAGTACTTGACCTTTTATCTTAGAGAGCTGCTTAGGTATTGTGGAAGTACTCTAGGTTATGTGGGCTAGGTTCCACATGCTTGGTCTACTTCTGTAAGGCTTTAGGGTCTGTGTCTCAAAATATAATGCCTTTGACTCCCCTGTTCTCACCCAGGCATTTTGTCAAGCAAACGTAAGCACGACAAACCGCTGAAGAAAAGGAATCCTATTTGCTTGTTACGAGCACGACAAAATGCTCAAGACAAGGAATCCTATTTGTTTCTATGGCGCCCCTATTCACACCTCGGGGTTTAAAAATTCCGCTGACCAACAATGATTGTGGGATCATTTTAGCAGGTTTAAAAATCCCACTGACCACCAATATTTGTGGGATTCTTGGGGGATTAAAAAAGAAAGTAAAATAATTTTTTGTTTTTAAAAATTTTAGTATTTTTACCTTTTACATTTTAAAACAGAAGATGTCCAGTGGTTATTAAATACCAACAAAATAAAACTGATGATAAAAAATAATAATTTTGGTTTGTGGCACGTAATTGTCAGTCAAACTATCACAGCACTGAAAACTAAAAAACGGCCTGGACAGAAGTGTCTAACATGTTGGTACTGAAGTGATTAAAGCAAAAAAAAATGTTTTTACAGCTGCCCGAGACTCCATTGTGAGGATTTTCTCTGTCTTCCTTTAGTAAACACAACTAGAACTGTATTAAAGGGTGTTCTATTTGCCAGGCATTCAGGTTTAGCTCTTCTTTTGAAAGTAATGTCCTGCCTTTTAATTAGACCGGCAACCTTGCTCAGTGCTATTAGGAGCACTGAGTGCCATTTGTGATGCTAGTGGCTTTTGTTTATGAACAGTTGTGTGTGTGTGTATCATGTGTCTCTGAAAGCTTCTATTCTATGCAGTGTATATACCTTGCACTGGATCCATACATCTTTAAACTGTAAAAAGAAAAGAAAAAAAGACAGGTGATTAGCAAGTTGCATTGATATACCATAATTTGAACAATTACTGGTGGCAGCCCTAACCCTGGAAAATCACCATCATACCTTCATCTTCTTCATCAAGAACACCTATATTGATGTTGATTGATTATAAAAATCACAAAATAAAAGCAAATAAAGCACTATTTTCTGATATTATGATCAATCACTGTCAGTAAATGTGTTCCTAATGAAGATGTTGGTGTGCTGGTGACTAATTTTCCACTCATCTGTACGGCGCCATCTGCTTGTTACTAAAGCACGAGGAAGTATAAGGGACATATTGCATAGATGTGCAATGGGATATCCTTTATAGTCTTAACTCTGGTCTTGGACTGGGGTGGACATATTCCAGCCCTTTAGCTGTGGTGAAATTACAATTCCCATCATGCATCTGCATCTCGGTGTCTTGCCTTTTGCTGTCAGAGTCTTGCCTAATGGCATTTGTAGCTGCACATCTGGAAGGCTGGAGTTTGACTAGCCCTGGTCTAGGAAGAACCTGTGCAGACCAATAGCCCTGCCTTAGGCCCCTTTTGCATGGGAGGCATATGTTCCTATCATCAGGGGATCTGTGAACATATCCCCTGCTGATTGGAGCAGTCACTCCTGTGATATCCGTGTACGTTCAGTGAACAAACCGGTACCATGTTAGGTCTATGGGCAGTTAGACATATGCAGATATATGGAGGGACCAAGGTTTTAAAGACTTTTGTAAATGACTAACAAGGAGAGGGACAGCATTACGGTGAACTGTTGCTTTGCATCTGTAATGAACGGCGCCACTTTAAATCTATATACACATTCCAATCCAACCCGTGCAATCTTTATACAATCTCCTGTAGATTTACCAAAACTATGTAACAGGACATACCTAAACTATTCGATTTGTATCCAATCAGGCAGTTACCTGGACTATAAAGTCAGTAGATTTAGGTTAGGTTCACACCTGCACTACGCCCGTGACGCGAGTCCTGGGATCGCCTGATCCTGTACAATGCAGGCAGCGATTGCCACTCGTCCCCATTGATTTCAATGGGGTGACATCCGTGCGGCAATCGCAGAAAAAAAAGGTACATGTACCTTTTTTTGCGATACACAATGCACGGCTGTTTTAGGAAACCACACAATCCGCCTGGCATGACTAGGGTGCCATTACAAAATAATGGCACCCCCAGCACGATTGGTTCACACCTTGGCAATTGCCGCACGGTGATGTGTCGCCTAGGTGTGAACCTAGCCTGAAGGGAGATTGTATTGTGTGGTGAGCCTAACCATTCATTTAACCCTTAACCTGATGTATTAGCAGTTACTGCCCTCCGTACCCCAGTAAATATTACTTAGCCAACGACCAGACTTCAGCATAGGGGAAACATTTTTTAAACCTGTGCATGGACTGAAAGCAATGTTGCAATGATTCAGGAGCGACTGTCTCGTCTGGTAATGTTGTATGCCTAGTGGTTTGAGCATGCAAAGTTTGCAGAGTAGATCAATTTAAATATATACTGAAATTTTGATTTGAGAATAGTTCAAGCCCAGTGCCATTATAGACATTCCACAACAAAAAGTTCTTAAAGCTGAACTCCGGGCACAAAAACTTAAATTTGAATATATATTTCTCAATAGTCACACAGGATATAAATGCGCTCTGTGCACGCCGAATGCCTTTACAAATTCATATATTACTATGTACAAGTAGCAGTGACATCATCACTGTGCTGTACATAGCCCGTGCAAAGAGCAGAGCTGTGGGAAGGCCAAATGGCCATATTAGGTCAGTGTGATTGACCAAAGATAGTCATGTGACCATATAAGGTGAATGACATCACACCATCCCACCCCATTTGCTTTTGTGCAGCTGTAGGCAGAGAATTCCCCAGCTGCAGCTGATTGGGAGACAAAGAAAGGAGCTTCCCTTTAGGTTCGGACCTGGCTTGGTCCAAAACTGAGCTCATCTGTAGAGCACATAACCTGTGCAGAAAGCTGATCCACCAGGCCCCACCTACTACAGGCTGCCTGCAGAAAACTACAGCAGGGGTGGTTACAAGACCAGTCACCTTGCACTAGGAGAGAGCAGTAGTGACTGGTCTTTATTGCAGTAGGCCCCTGCACAGAGGCTAGGTTTCACACTGGATTACTACACAGGTCTAGAAGAAATACACAAAGCTCACCAGGATTCAAGTAACAATACACATGCAGCCAGTCAGAGGAATCAAGCATTTTAAAAGTTTAGAAGATTCACAGCTTACACTTCGTTTGTAAATCAACCCCAGTGTCTAGGAAAACTCTCTCTCTTCACAGGAACAGAACCTTATCTCCGTCATCATTATTTAACTCCTGACCATTTTACGCATGTCACTGACAACTATAGAGCAAGGCTTTGCATGTAAATGTCAGCTCACTCTCCTTTTACCAAGAGAATCTTTAACAGGCAAATTAGCTGGGAAGTGAACCGTGATCTGGAGCCCCCCAGCCATTGTCACCCCTGTCAACTCTCACCTTCTTCAGCGGCTCTGTGTTCCTCACTTGCTTCTTACCACACCCGGACAAGCCTGGAGGACTAACTTGAATTTTTAAGAAGTCTGTGGTTTTTAAAGTGGAAAAAAAGGAGGGAGGGTTTGCTATGACTCAGTATCATGTGTGCAAAATACAAGACTTGAAGCGTAGAAGAGGGAGGGAGAAACACGACTTTTCACATCAAGGCTGACAGGTAATCGAATCCAGCCACCACCACCCCCTTCCTCTTCCTTTGATGAGCACATCAGAGTCAGAAAAGGAGGGGAGAGGATTATGGGAGGGAAGAAAGATGCAGTGTGATGGGCGAACCGCAAAAACAAGCTGGCTGAATTAACTTTGCTACCTTTTAAACGGTGTTTCAGAATTTTTTGAGGTTTCGCTTTAGCGCGGTGTGAACAGTTATAATACTAGGAGAGCCGAGCGACTGTCACCTGCTCTGGAGGTAAGCCTCTCACGTTTCTGACTGGTGCTACGGGTCACTGCACATAACACACACACACAACACGCCAAGTCACCCACAGCGCGATAGACCAATATAGGAGATACAAGGAAAAAGTCAAGAAACTTGACAACAATGTACATAAATACTGTTCTGGGCAATGTATATTTGTTTGATCTGGATTCATTATTGGAAAAAGTTTAAGAGTTTAATACTACTTTAACGCTGAAGGGGGGCTTGGTGTAAATCCAGTTTGCCTGAGCAAAACTGTGATTGACACAATTCCTCCTGTCCCAATCAGTTGTGGCAGGGGCATTCCCCACCTCTTTGT